AGTGTGGATGACAGTGATGAAGACTCACCTGAGGGCCAGTAGCCTGGCCTCTGCCTCGGAACCAGCCTCCATTCCCGTACTCTGACCCATCCCTTCTACTAACATAAGTGTTAACCCTAACCTTGTTTTTTTCTAACCTAACCTACAGTATATTATTCTCTTATTGATTGTTCCCTTCTCTATTATGTGTGTGTGAATACCATCATAAAGTTAAGATGTTATTTTTACTAAAACGTACGTATTGTGTCGGGAAAAAGTGGAGTTTGGGGGTCGGCCCAGTCTCTATTTCAATTAATCCCATATGTTATGTTGTTCACTTTACGCGGGCCGCCGTGGGTTCAATTGACCGCGTAAAGTGAGGGTTCACTGTACCTGTATTCATTCACATGTTGGTGCTTGGGAGAGTTACCGTAGTGCTACTTGTTGCTTTAAGGATAGTGTGTCAACCTTGATATGGGTAACTCACTACAGTATGTTGGAGTGGTTGTCAGCTTTTTCAAGGCAAGATTTTTAAATCTATTCGAATGTGATGAAACAGAAGATGTTAGGCTTTTAAGAACCAATAGAATGTACAGATGTATTAATGTGGAGAATATTGTTAAATTTGTATACGGTAAGTGTTACCTTTGCAGACTTTGTGGATTTTTAACTTATGAGATTTAAAGGCTATCAGAATATGCATAGAATTTTGAGCATTATAATAATTAATCTTTTTTTCCTGCCTCTTAATTAGAAAACAATTATGGCAGCATTATCTGTTTTAGCTTCCTTGAACTTCAGTAAATTATTAAAAAAATAATATATGTTTTCTTCACCTGCTCTAAATTTCAGGACTTGTACAGGACACAGAAACAGTCAGTCACCCCAGACAAATCCACCACACATACCTGTAGAGCTTGGATGGTTCCCATTGCAGTATGTAGCCTACATGGTTTTAACGGTGTACTTTACTTTTACTTTTATCCTCTTTACCACTGGTCGGCTTGTTAGCCACTTGGGCGGCCGGTTCTGTCTCTTTTTAGCACTGTTGACAAGTACAGTACTGTGCATGTACTGGCTCCTGAATGTATCTGAACCTGCTCCAGTGTTGGTCAAGTCTGGTCTCGAAAGAGCCCACACTCGGTCCCGTCACAACACTCTCTGGCAAATTGTTCCAAGAGTTCACAATTCTCTCTCCGAAAAAGTTTGCCCTCACAGTTTACTGGACATGTGGCTTCTTCAACCTTGAGCTGTTGCCCCTTGTGGGGCGGGCATCCGCCATCTCCAGATATGGACTAGAATCAACAGGGGCCCACTGTTTATGTCTGTACAGTATAGGCCTTGTATTTTACACATTCTGAGAGCAAACTCGACCCTTACAGTATGTAATTGCAGAGGCAGATTCAGGAATCTCAAAAAGGGGGCCCAAGACGTTGTGGATGGGGTAACATGGTGAGCATAGTGAGCCCATCCAGTTGGGGGTCTTTTGGGGGAAGGGGGGGCTATAACCCCCCTCCCCACCCCAGATTTTTTTTTTAATTTGACCAATATTATGGGCATTTTGAGGCCATTTTGAAGTCATGTGCACTTGATATTAAGAGATTCTGAGGTAAATAGTAATTACTTTTTACATTTTATTGCATGAAAGAAAAAGTATTGGAATATTTGATGAAAAAGGGGGATCTGGACCCCCAGGTTCCCCCCTGGATCTGCCCCTGTTCCAGAAGCAAAAAGTTTGGGACCAAGAAGCTTCCACAAAATAGATAATTACGTAAAGTGGAAACTACGGTCTTATGAACATATGTCCAAGGAAAGCATGTAGTAAACCATAGTACAGTACTTGTGTCTGATTGGTTATAGTATCATAATTTAATTAATGCAATTGCCTATTTGCAAACTTACCACACTTCATTGCATATTCTCTTAACATTCTAAATGTTATTAAGTCTATATATAACTATTTACTGTATCATTCTTCTGCAATCTCCATATAAATTACTTTTCAATCTCACGTGATAACAAGTTGGTAATCTCTTCTCCGTTTCTCAAACACTTATCTCTTCGCGTAAGACTGTCTCCCCAACACCTGAGCCTGATACCTGGAGTGTTCCTTCCTTAGACTTCTCCTCAACTTGCACATTAATGTTATATTCACCTTTCAGTGTTTGTAGTTACTAAGGCTATGGATTATGGAAATGTTTATAATTATAAACATGATAGTCACTACATTGGAATTACTGTACCAGTATTATCATATCTAAGTTAAGGCACCACTTATATAATACTGTACTGTCTATTTTAATGTGTATTCTTATCAAATTTATCAACGATTGTAATGGTACCCCATTAAGGCCCTGTTCACGCCAGCCCTTTTTGATGGCCGTCTCTGACATCATATATCAATCGATGATGTCATACCAGCCCATTTGGTGAATATAGTCTCAGCCATCTTTTTAAACACTCAGGTTACTTATTATTATCCCGAAAGCGCCCTCCATGCCGTAATTCGTTGTTTTAAACCAAATACACGTGATTCGGTTCGGGTTAATTTTTAGTAACCCGAGTAATTTTAGTAACTTCGGGATAGGTCCTCGGGTGTGGGTAGGCACCCAAAAGACTTACCGATTGTTCAAACTACTGTAGTTATATATGTATAGAAAAAGTCTCTGAAATACAATATATGTAAATTAAGATGAGATAATGAGGAAAACGAATATTTAAATGTCCTAATAACCAGTTCCAACAGAAATGTAAATATTGTTACGACCCTCCCAACTTCCACCACTAGTTACCAGCAGCCAGGGTCGTATGTACAGGATGCCAAATCCACCGAGCATTGCCGTTAAAGTACCTGTACGAGAGAGAGAGTGAAGCAACATTGCGTCGAAGAGAAAGGGAAGAAAGATTATCAACTAAAGGAGGAGTGTCAGTAAGACGAAATATCTTTGATTCCACCCTATCTAACAGTTGGACAGAAGAGCCACCCCAGATATGAGAGCAGTACTCCAAGTTCAAATAGGACGATTGAATCCCTTATAAACTTAAAGCAACTGCTCAGGGGTGAAGTAGCATTCCCAGCTTTCTGGAGGCAGCTTTAGCAATGTTGTTGATGTGTGGCTTCTATGACATATTAGAGGAAATGGTGAGGCCTAGCATATCTGTTTTAGAACTTGGCAGAATGATTGCGTCCTGAAGTGTGATTGGTGGGAGATCATCTAATTTGGAAAGTGTAATTGGTAAATACTGAGTTTTATTACTATTGAATAAGTTCTACCTCCCCATTCGGAGATGTTGCACAGATCCGCATTGATAGATGAAATGATATCAGCTCTAGAAACAGATCTAGTTTGAGAATTAGGGGGATAGGAAAAATGTGAAGAGTGAAGAGTAGAATCATTAGTGTAAGAATGAATAGAATCAGTCGTAGTTTGGCTTTCTAAACTTTAGGGAAGTACCACTCAGTCCTGTCGATTCTGTTCGTACTATTGGAGTGTACAGTACTTTGACTCGAAACTGAAGTTTAAATAGCATATAAATTCAGTAGTTAAGAGTTGGATCTTTCATATTCGAAATCCATAATCAGTTAACAGTTTTTTGGTGGACAGTGTCTTGTGACGCTATTACATTCACTAATTTTGTCTCGGGGTTCCAGTTAAAGCTAGGACAAAGTTCAAACTCTGTCTAATGACCTTTAAGACACTAAAGTTTGGCTAGCCTAAATATTTGGCCATCCTACTAATTTCACTGACCACACGTAATGAAATGGTTTTGCGTGGTTGTGATGATCCTTTACTCTTTGAGGAGCCTAGAGCCTTGGATGTTCTTTTGCTGCCCGATCCTTTTCTTATACAGTACAACCTTTATTTTTTAATTTTTTGAAAGGTTATGATCCTGAACAGGCGATGGAGAATTACAGGGTATATGCCTGATAGAAGTCGAAGTCATTTTTTGTGATCTTTTATTGTAGTGCAATATTATTTGTTTAATTGTCAAGTCAAAACCAAAAGATCAGCTATTATTATTATTAGTATTAATATTAATATTATTATTATTATTATTATTATTATTATTATTATTATTAAGATCTTCCTAATTCTGAATTCGATTCTTAATATGGATTTTAAATTTAAAAAATCCTATTTAACAGTCATATTAGTCATGATGTATGGATCATGAGTAATAAATCCTTATTTAACTCGTCTTAATCATGCCATATGGATGATAAACTAATTAACTTTGACCCAACTCTAAAAATTTTCTGTTGACATTTTGATTTTAACTAATAAAACCCAACCTAACCAATCTATCCTAACCTAGCTCCTAAACTCCTACAATTGGGCATTCTTGTGATCTTTGATCCTCGAAAAAGTGACCAAAAAGTGCAAATCTCGCTTATACAAATGAGTGTTTGGATCGAAGGTAAATTTGTGACCCAACCAAGCATATCCAGGTTTTCTCCGGGTACATCGGTTTCCCTTTGTACTCACACTGGGCAATAAAAGTCCAGTGTTGGATAAGTGGTAGAAATTAAAAAAAAAATGATATACTGCTAATACAGTGTCTTCAGGCATACAGCTGGGTGAGGCGCCGACCCCTGGTGGTTTGTAGCAGTCAGTCCCCACCAAAAAAACAGTTAAAGTAAATTTAATTATTAATTTCTTGCCACGATTATTTTCGTTTTGCATATGCTACTGCAAATATACAGTATGCACACCAGGGAACTTGTTTATTAAACATAAATATTTGGGAAACGGAGGTAAACAAACCGTTGTCCATAAAGACTTCGTATCAATATTTGATGCATTCGGATTTGAATACCATTGAATCAGTCTGCACGGCTGTCTCATCATATTGCAGTTTTCTATAAAATCAGTTACATAGTACGTGACTATAGCTCTTCAATATCATGGTTTTCCTGTATTTTGTTGTGGCAATTTTGTGTTCCGTGGCGACCCCTGGCAGCTACTGTGGTGGGCTGGGCGGGTGGTGAGGAACACAAACAACCACCCGTCTCAGTCTGCCTTGTTCCGTTAACTGGTGAGCTACAGGTACTGGACTGTAGCGAATGATTGTGTTCTCTTATAATACCAAAGCAGAATTTTGTGTGTGACAGTTTGCGGATAACACGGCCACAGTAGTGTAGCTTTGCCTTTGGATAACTACAGCAGGCAGCGTTTGAGTTCTGTCTTGGTGAATATATTATAATAAGGAGATACCCAACAGAATGGAATGTTTTCCAGGCGGCAGTGGGTATGCTTGAAATGAAAATATTGTAGGGATGAAAAGTTTATACATAGTAATTATCGCTGCAGACCATAGTTAGTATTATAGAAAAAAAGCCAAACCAAAGATTATTTGTAAATTTCTTAGTCTCAAACTGAAAGTATGCCGGCAGTGAGTCAGAACAAATAAGGAATCTGAGTGAGTAACATGTAGACCTCAGCCATCTGCCAAGAGTGTTCCTGGAGCGGTTCAAGGCAGGTGTTAAGAGAGGGACCCGCAAGGAGGTGTGTGTGTGTGGGCAGCTGCAGTTTTGACAGCCGCCTGATATATCCACTTCCTCTAGCCGGATGGAAGAGTTCTCAGTGTGGCGTTGTTGGGGTCTTAGACTTCTTAGTGTGCGGTGCAACCTTCCTCGAACTGGGTTAAATGACCCTTGTAACCGATCATGATTGTTAGGAAGAACATTTATATTAAACATAATGTATAATTTGTTAAGTCAGGCATTATTGTTGTATCGGTAACTTTTCTTGTAAAATGATTGTGTGCCTTGATGACAACAGACGTCAAGTAACCCCAACGTCTTTTGTGAACTCTTGCCCTAGTGTTATCTGATGAAGACACTAAGAACAGATTTTAGGTGGTTAGGTCCCCTTATCTGGCAGTTCCAGAATGGTTCAAACCCAGGTGTTTTAGTTGGCTTTTTGCCCCACGCTGCCTTCGTCACCAGCCACCGCTTACCCCACTCCCTTCACTCCATCACTGCCCCTTCTCCCTTCACTCCTTCACTGCCCCTTCTCCCTTCACTCCTTCACTGCCCCTTCTCCCTTCACTCCTTCACTGCCCCTTCTCCCTTCACTCCTTCACTGCCCCTTCTCCCTTCACTCCTTCACTGCCCCTTCTCCCTTCGCCCTTCTCTTCCTGCCTTCTCCTTCACTCCTTCCTGCCTTCTCCCTTCACTCCTCACTGCCCCTTCTCCTTCCTTTCTTCTGCCTTCTCCTTCTCCTTCTCCTTCCTCCTTCACTGCCTTCTCCCTTCTCCTTCTCCCCTTCTCCTTCACTCCTTCACTGCCCTTCTTTCCTCCTTCACTGCCCCTTCTCCTTCCTCCTTCACTGCCTTCTCCCTTCTTTCATCTTCCTCCTTCCTGCCCCTTCTCCTTCACTCCTTCCTGCCCTTCTCCTTCCTCACTTCCTGCCCTTCTTCTCCTTCTTTCTCCCTTCACTCCTTCCTGCCCTTCTCCCTTCTCCTTCCCTTCTCCCTTCCTCCTTCTGCCCCTTCTCCCTTCACTCCTTCCCCCTGCCCTTCTCCTTCCTCCTTCACTGCCTTCTCCCTTCCTCCTTCTGCCCTTCTCCCTTCCTCCCTTCACTGCCCCCCCTTCCTCACTGCCTCTCCTTCACTCCTTCACTGCCCCTTCTCCCACTCCTTCTCCTTCACCCTTCCTCCCTTCTCCTTCCTGCCTTCTCCCTTCCTCCTTCTGCCATCCTGCCTTCTCCCTTGCCCCTTCTCCTTCACTCCTTCCTGCCCCTTCCTCCTTCACTGCCCCTTCTCCTTCCTCCTTCACTGCCTTTCTTATATTCCACCAGATAAACATAAACCTACTACCCCACACTAACCCTCAGTCCATTCACCCACATGTTAGCACTGAAGTCACTCTCGCCTGAACTCAGCCACCCACATACTAGTCCCACCCAGCCACCCCATACTAGTCCTCCACCCAGCCACCCCACACTAGTCCTCTAGTCCTCCACCCAGCCACCCACTAGTCCTTCACCCAGCCACCCACACACTAGTCCTCCACCCAGCCACCCCACACACTAGTCCTCCACCCAGCCACCCACGCACTAGTCCTCCACCCAGCCACCCACACACCTCACCCAGTAGTCCTCCACCCCAGCCACCCACACACTAGTCCTCCACCCAGCCACCCACACACTAGTCCTCCACCCAGCCACCCACACACTAGTCCTCCACCCAGCCACCCACACACTAGTCCTCCACCCAGCCACCCACCCACTTTCACCCAGCCACCTATTCCTCCACTGGGCAACCCACATACCATTCTACCATTCAGTCACTCCACACACTATTCCTTCAACCAGCCAAGCAAAGATCGAAGTTTTACGTATTAGGTTAGAAATTTCAGTTCGGAACAAAGCACAGTTTGAGTAACGTTGTTTCATGGAAGACACTTAAACCAGTCTGTTTTTTACTGACATTTAAGAATACAGTATTATATTTAATGTAATTTCATAAATTCATAATCAACAGTACATAATATATAAATCTAAGAAATTAAGAATAAACCCAGGAATTTGAACACAGCTAACTCGTATTGTTTATTTTTGGTGGATATTACTGTTTTACACGTATGGTGTTCAGTATATTTAGTATGGGATTTTAATTACTATTTTTCAGTAATATTACCTTATAATGATAACAAATATATGAAATACTGTATGTGATGCGTGAGGTTTGTTTACCTATGAGCGATGTCTAGGGACGGCTGAGTTGACGCCCACCACAGTTTGTCTCCAGGCAATCATACTTACCCATCCACCTCGTTGAGACCTGCCTAGGATGTTGTCCATTAATAATAGCCCTCATCAGATTCGTCAAAAAATACACAAAATTGTTGGTTTGGTGGGTTTAAGACAAGTCAATTAGGATAAGACTTTACTTAGGTTACAGTGATGTGGATTACATATATTTACGCTTTGACCCAGTTACAGTGTTATTGAAAACTTGTTCTCATTCTGCCGAGGCAAATAGTTACATTTCCTAATCCTCATTACAGCCAAGATCAGTTGATAGCCTAGGTGAGGTACCGTATGTATCCTGCTAAACTCACTCTCACACTTCCCTCTGAAGCATGAGGCATACAAGCGACTGGAAAAGGAAAATGAGTTTAACGAAGGCATACTTAACCATCATTTAGGAATTAACGAGAGTGAATGGGTTGATTACAAAGTAACAGTCAACAAAACTTAACATCTTACCGTCCCCGTTGTCTACTGGTGGTCCTGGAAGCAAGTATTTACCAGAAGGACTAATGTTACGCCTTTGCTTCTTTGGTGAAGTTCATGGAGGCAAACATTAGCAATAGTACGGCACGTAAAAATTATAGGTGATATTTAAGTTAATCCCCGTAAACAATCTAGGTTTATGTTAGGAACGTGAAATAAAAAGCTTGCCTTTATCAGTGTAATTAGCATCGTGAAAACCGGGAGTCGCAATAGCAGAAGAGCTGTGATAAGCCTAGCTCTTTTTATGCAGTGACACCAACAGTGGGCAACCAACTTTTAAACCTGGAGAACTGTTCTCTGCCCATACAAGTGAAAGTGATGCACTGGCTGCCTTAAGTGCGGTAGTAATTCCCTCATAAATGAGACCTCGTCCTTGCAATGACTGGTGTTGTGGATCATTCATCAGCGGTGCCTTGTGGTAAAAAGCTGTAGCGTGGTCTGGGGAAGCCTGCCTGGTGGTCACTCTAACACTAATTTACAACTCAAGAGTTACTCCAAGTCCCAGCGGCACCAGACTGTGCCGTCCATCTTGTACCGTTTTAAGCAAGGTAAGTCATCTTTGTTGTACTGAGAGTGGGTGGGGTGAGAGGCAATGAGATGCCGGGTCAATACCACCTGCTTGCTCTTTCCTCCTTTCACTTCATTGAATTTCCAGTCTGGTTTGTTTATATTTATTTACTGGGGTATTAAGAAAAAGCTAATTATATGCAAGGTACACCGCTAACAGATCTACACTAACGTTTCGGAAAAATAATTTTCCATCATCAGAGCCTAGAAAACAAAAAGTTTTGAAAAAGTTTAAAAAAAAATACAGTTGATATACAATAAAAACATAACATACGAAAATTTACCTTCCATAAAATTTAAAGAAAGAGCACTCCAATTTAAAACCGACAAAAGTGACGAGAGACCTCTGATGATGGAAAATGAATTTTCCTAAACGTTAGTGATTAAAGAATCCCAACTTAGTCAAGATGTTTGTGTTTTCCCTGGTTCTCCTCTTCGTTATATATATATATATATATATATATATATATATATATATATATATATATATATATATATATATATATATATATATATATATATATATATTATATATTTATATATTTATATACACGAGGGGTTAAAGGTGAATGAAGGGAGAGAGGATTTAATACCGTGCGTGTCAGCTTGGGGAGGAGGGGGCTGTGTGGGGGGACATTACCGGTACCTCGCCACCAGCAGGAAGGGGCACCACCAAATCGAATAATTGGTGCATTATGAGCCTGACACCTGTTGTGGACTTGTGGTGGAACTTGGCGTACTCTGAATGGTCGTGGTGGGGTTATGGAGGGGGAAGAGAGTTGAATGGCAGGGCGGGGGTGGATACGGGTGTACACAATATATGACGACGTGATAAACATGAGCCTGGGTCTGCACATAGCTTTGTGACGGAATGACTCCTGCAACGAAGAGGAAGGTTTGTAAAGCGTGTGATGAAGGTTAAGGGACATTTTTCTTCCCGAAGCCACGTGTGACGGAAATATTATAACCCATTCCTTGGCTGAAAAATTTATGAGAATGAACGTAGTGTGTGTGTGAAGAGTTGGGGATTAATTGGCAAGTGGGTTATTAACTGAGCTTGAATATGAGATGTGAGGTTGGGAACTTGAGTGTAAGGCTGAAGATAGGGCGTATCGTATTTATGTTATTTAGCAGAAGGTTAAGGGAGCTAGGCGTGTGGACTAGGGTTAGGGGATGGGCGTGTGTATAGTAAGGGAGTTATGAGCTCGGAGTGTATGGACCAACAGGGTAGGGGGTGGGAAGGGGTCGTTTAGGGGCGAGGCGTGTGGAGAGCAGGGGGTGGGAAGAGGTTTTTTAAGGGCGTGGTATGGACTAGCAGGGGGTGGGAAGGGGTCGTTTAAGTGCGAGGTGTGGACTAGCAGCGGGGGGGGGAGGGTTGGTTCTCACGGGGATATGGTTACAGCAGAACCTCGTGGGAATCTATTTAACACCACACACTCACTAGTGACGAAGATTGTGACGGCATTAGGTTCCGTCTCCACCACAGATTGACTTGGAACGATAGAGCCCTTCCGCCTCGGTTTTTGACTGTCTTGCCTTGATGCGTCTGTAATGCAGGATTTAAAAGTGATGAATGATACTGTACTGTGTCTTGGGGGAATTAATTAAATTACTTATTTATGAAGGTGGCGCCAAAAGACCGTATGGAGTATGAGTGCTGGCGGTCGGTCATGAGTAGCTAGCTGCTCTGCTGTGGGTTTCTGAGGCATTGTTATGTTTATGTGACTTGGTGGCAAGGTTCTGTGGTTGTTGCAGTGATAAGGCTCCCTCACTCCCGTATATATTGTACATACTAGAGGCTCCCTCACCCCAGATGTACACACAAGAGGCTCCTTCACCCCAGATGTTCACACAAGAAGATCCTTCATTCTAGATGTACACACAAGAGGTTCCTTCACCCCAGATGTACACATAAGAGGCTCCCTCCCTCAGATGTACACACAAGAGACTCCCTCATATGTACAAATAAGAGGCTCACTCCCTCAGATGTACACACAAGAGACTCCCTCCCTCAGATGTACACACAAGAGACTCCCTCCCTCAGATGTACACACAAGAGACTCCCTCCCTCAGATGTACACACAAGAGACTCCCTCCCTCAGATGTACACACAGAGACTCCCTCCCTCAGATGTACACACACAAGAGACTCCTCCCTCATATATACACAAGAGACTCCCTCCCTCAGATGTACACACAAGAGGCTCCCTCCCCCAGATGTACAGACAAGAGGCTCCCTCCCTCATGTACACAAGAGACTCCCTCCCTCAGATGTACACACAAGAGGCTCCCTCCCCCAGATGTACACACAAGAGGCTCCTTCACCAACGTATATAGCTACGCACACGAGATTTTTTTCATCCTTGTATATAAACGAGGGACTGTTCGTCATCTCGGCTATACAAAGGGGAAGGAACAGTAACCCAGGTGTGCACCGCTACTGCCAGACCACCGTCCGTGTACACACACACGCCAGGACTGTGCCCTCATATGTAAACACAAAGGCATCCCGATTCCCGACCTTAATGTTCATATATATATATATATATATATATATATATATATATATATATATATATATATATATATATATATATATATATATATATATATATATATATATAACAAAGAAGTATGTCTGTGTGTTTGTGTGTGTCCGCACGAGAATCTCTGAAACTTTACCGATCTGTAGTGATGATGGGTGGTGTTATATGTAGTGATGATGGATGGTGTTATATGTAGTGATGATGGATGGTGTTTTATGTAGTGATGATGGGTGGTGTTATATGTACTGATGATGGATGGTGTTATATGTAGTGATGATGGATGGTGTTATATGTAGTGATGATGGATGGTGTTTTATGTAGTGATGATGGGTGGTGTTATATGTACTGATGATGGATGTTGTTATATGTAGTGATGATGGGTGGTGTTATATGTACTGATGATGATGGATGGTGTTATATGTAGTGATGATGGGTGGTGTTATATGTGGTGATGATGGATGATGTTTTATGTAGTGATGATGGATGGTGTTATATGTAGTGATGATGGGCGGTGTTATATGTAGTGATGATGGATGATGTATGTAGTGATGATGGATGTTGTTATATGTAGTGATGATGGATGGTGTTATATGTGATGATGATGGGTGGTGTTATATGTAGTGATGAATGGATGTTTTATATGTAGTGATGATGGTGGTGTTATATGTAGTGATGATGGATGGTGTTTTTATATATAGTGATGATGGATGGTGTTATATTTAGTGATGATGGATGTTGTTATATTTAGTGATGATGGGTGTTATATATAGTGATGATGGATATATAGTGATGATGGATGGTGTATATTTGATGATGATGGATGTTATATGTAGTGAATGATGGGTGGTATTATATGTATTGATGGATGATGTTATATGTAGTGATGGGTGGTGTATATGTAATGATGATGGATGATGATATTTGTGATGATTAGACAATAAATATGAGTTTAATGCTAAAAAAATATACTTTGCTGTACCGTTGTAGTGAAAAACATGGTGGAACTTATACACACCGTTAATGATTTATTGATGGAAGAAGTTTTGGGGACTGAACAGTGAGACAATGTGGAGCCTCCCAGAGGGTGGCGTCCTACCTAGCCGATGGATGAGCCGCCCAGAGCGAACAGCGGACAGACGGTCACAGGAAACAGATCAGGAAAGGGAATCCCGTCTGAATGTATATGTGTGTGTGTGTGTGTCCACTCACCTGTGCACGCTTGGGGTCTTTTGATTCCTAGAAGGGGGATCTTGAGCCCTACATGAAAGAGTAACCCCAAGTACTGTATAGAGGAGTGACCCTTGAACCGTATATAGTGATGACTCCTGAACCCCGTATAGAGAGGAGGGATACAGCCCGGACATGGGTCGACTTACAGGGAGGAGCTTCAGGTTACACTCTGTGGGTATTTCCCTTCACCCCGATCATTCCCTCCCTCCCGTCACTGCCCATCCCTACCCTTCCCCATCCTGCCCCCCCCCATCCTGCCCTCCTCCCCGTCACTGCCCATCCCTCCTCCCCATCCTGCCCCTCCCTCCCCCATCCTGCCCTCTGTCCCCCATCACTGCCCTCCCCTCCCCGTCCTGCCCATCCCTACCCCTTCCCTCCCCATCACTGCCCCTCCCTCCCCCATCACTGCCCTCTGTCCCCCTCCCCTCCGCCATCTCTTCCCCATCCTGCCTCCCCCATCCTTCCCCATCCTGCCCTCCCTCCCGTCCTGCCCATCCCTACCCCTTCCTCCCCATCACTGCCCTCCCTCCCCCATCCTGCCCCTCCTCCCCCATCACTGCCCCTCCCTCCCCGTCACTGCCCATCCCTCCCCCTTCCTCCCCATCACTGCCTCCCTCCCCATCCTCCCTCTTCCCCATTCCCCTCCTCCCCATCCTGCCCATCCCACCCCTTCTCCCCATCCTGCCCCTCCCTCCCCCATCCCTGCCCCTCTGTCCCCATCCTGCCCCTCCCTCCCCGTCCTGCCCATCCCTACCCCTTCCTCCCCATCACCCCCTCCCCATCACTGCCCCTCCCTCCCCCATCACTGCCCCTCCCCTCCCCATCCTGCCCCTCCCCTCCCCATCACCCCTCCCTCCCCCCATCCTGCCCCTCCCTCCCCCATCACTGTCCCTCCCTCCCCATCACTGCTCCCCTCCCTCCCATATCCTCCCTCCATATCATTCCTTCCTCCCCATCACCACCCTCCACCTCCCTCCCATCACCACCCTCCACCTCCCTCCCCGTCACCACCCTCCACCTCCCCTCACTATGACTGCTCTCCACCTCCCTCCCATCACCACCTCCACTTCCTCCCCATCACCACCTCACCTCCTCTCCATC